AAAAAAAATCACCTCTCATGTGGTCAGCACAGCCTGTGTTTAATTGGGCGACGTGCTATAAATACCCCGTAGCTTCAGTGCCTCGTTCTGTTCATTGTAACGGCTGTGTCCCGGCCTCGAAACGCCTGTCACGGGCCTTAAGTTTTGGCTGGGGGCAGCGCTGCGGGTCGAGGACCCCGCTGGAGTTGGGGGGTTCGGTGCGAGGCAGCTGCGGGTCGCGGGGAGGAGCCCGGCAGGGTCCCCCCGCCCCGTCCCAGCCACCGACGGGGGATCTGAACCCGAAGGCCGGCGTTGATGGCAAAGTTTGGGGGATGCTCCAAAGATAACCGCAATTAGATAAAGCAAAGCTTGTCCGTTGTGCTTTGAGAAGCGTGACCGTGCGTTTCGCCTTCGTGGTGACCACGGCCGGGCGCAGGCGGCCCCTTGGGACCAGGCTCCGCGCGAGGCTCCCGTGTACTCCCCACCACGGCGCCTGTGCTCCCCGCCGGCCCCTTGGCCTCTTCCCAGCACGTCAAGCAAACGAGTGGGCAAAAACGGGGCGACAGGGGGAAATCCCTGCATCTCCCCTGCCTCCGATCTTSGTTTGGGGTGAATTCTCCCTCGCAAGGAAAAAATATTCCTTATTGATGGGAGAAAAATAGCTGCGTGTCAGCGGGATCGCTTGGTGGGCACACGGCAGCCACCGCTTGTATTTGACATGCTGCAGAAAAGAGACCCAAAGTGAAGAAGGATTCGCTTCTACTCTTGTTTGGGCAGAGGAATTGTAGACACTTGAATGGTCCTGATGATAACTGCGTATACTTTTTATTAATTTATTAAGTATTCTATTAATATTTTATTATTTTTTATTAGTAATGTGGAGGCCAGTGCTTTGTATTTGCTACTGGCAGCTGAGCTGCGCTTCTCCTTAGCTATTTCCTCTCCCATAGTTTTACGGTGATGACTGCTCAAGCTTCTAATTTTAGCGATACTTTTGAGGATTTTTGTTCTCTGGGAATTAAGACTACAGAAAAGCTGCACATCMTGTTACATAAAACAGAGGATGCGGGAGAGGCACGGACGCAAAAGCCGAGGAGAGGAAATGCTGCATTTGCACGGAGCGAGCGGCACACACGAACAAGCAAAACAAACCGGGCGCACTTGGCGGGCAGAGCCTGGCTTTGCGGCAGGAATGTTGGGTTTTCCCRACTCCGAAATGGAGCGGAATAGAGGAGGGGATGGATGGGGTCGGCAGGAGGCCGTCAGGGAAACATCCCCGTGCCGTGACTTGACTCCGTGGTTTCCGAGGTCGTGGCACGAGGCGCGCGCTGGTGCTCTGCTCACCTGGCTGGCTGGCCTGTTTAATCACTAACTCAATTTTAAAAGGCAGGTCAAACTTTCACGATATCCTGAATATGAAAAAAAATAAGCAGATCAAGATTTTATTCAATGAATACAATGACTGATGGTCTGGTAMCTATTGTCACTCATTATGAAAATGTGAAATCTGTCACAAGCCTTACGTGGATGTTATCACGGATGGATTTAATGTACATAAGAAAAGTGATGTTGTCCGTGATAATAGTCGATAACCAAGGTTTCTTTCTGCAAGTGCATCCGTTGCTGTGGTTTTTGTTGGGTACCTACGTGCTCGCGTGTTAACTTAAATACCCGCACACATATCGACATCCAGAAAACTTGTCCTGCTTCAGCAGGAGCCGCGTAATTACAGTGCTTCAGCCTCCCGTGGCGGGTTCTCAGGTTAATAAGAAGGTATTGATATCCTGCGAGTTATTCCCGTAAAYGCAGGGAAATAAGCTCTTAAATCACCTCGGTAAAAACCTGCCCACACTAGAGGTAGGTAACCACCCTAATTAAAAAAGTCTTTTYTCTTACAAAACAGCTGTGCGCGGCACAAAGCCAGGCCCTAGAAGTTTATTATTAACGCTGTTTGACCCACATACACTGATGRGGGGGAGAAAAAAGGCGTTTGCTTTATCCATCCTTGCTGCCCTTTCGCGCACGGCTGGAGTATCCCCGCGAGCCGGCCAAGTGTCAGAGCGAGAGATCAAAGTCCTGTGAAAAGGAACCTGTCCCGTTTCCTCCCGGGGCGCGCGGCTAASGCGCGGAGGAAGCTCTTGGCGCAGGGGAGGACGAGCCCCGCGCGCAGGTAGGGTCCCCCGGCGGCTCTCCGCGGCTCCCCGGGGCGAGATGCCGGCTCCTTGGCCGGGCCCCCCGGGCCTCGCTCGCCCCTGGGGGCGGAGGAAGGGGGAGGAGGAAGGAAGCGATTCTGCGTGACACGAGAGCGCCGCGGGGGCCCCCGCGCCCGTCCCGGCGCAGCGGCAGCTCCGGGGGGTTGAGCCC